TGATTCCTACCCAACTTCCAACCTTGTTGGTAGGAACACCAAAGCTGCTGACCATGCTGGGCAGATATGGGAAGACTGAGCTGTAGGCCATGGGTTCGGCGATTCTGGCCATGGCTATTGATAGGTCAGCGGAGATCGGATGGAGCGGGATACCTGGACTGGACCATGATGTCTCTCTGGGCTATGTGTATTTTCATGTTATAGTGCCTCTGTTGTTGATGAGAAACGCTCTATCAAGTTATATATATGGGAGCACACCTGTGCACGGGAATAATGGGGAACGAGAATGACTCGGTGTTGGGTTGAGGCTCATGGTGTTCGGACCGTGAACCATGGTCGTATATTGTCATCTTGATACCAAGCAGGTCAAGTGAAAAGACAGCAAGGGTATTTATTCCAAGGGCTTCACAGGTATCCATGAAATAGTGAAATACTAAAACCTACCTAGAATTGCCAGCTGCTGCTTGGGCAGCTTTGGACCGTCCTTGGTCGTCATCGTGAGGAACGATTGCGCAAAGAGTAACAGTGGAGAGGAGAAGTTCGAAGTAATAAATTTTCTTGTTCCTAACAAAGACCAACGAGTATCATGTACAACGAGACGGCGACACGAGGGATGATTAATCTGGATATACGATACACACGATCAACTCATCAATATCTCAACTCTTGCACCAAACAACAAGGGAGGAAAACAAGAAGAAGTTTTGGTTCACAGTCACAGTCACAAAGTAGTAGAAGAAGTCAGGTCAAGCCAAGCAAGCCACCAAAAGAGATAATTATGGATCATCGAGGCCAGAATTGGTTTGGTCGGCACGGCAGGGTGGTATAGTGCAGAGAAGGGTTCCGATCCACTGCTCCAACCTCCAGAGGACGAACCCGAGCAGGGGTATTTTGGGGCGATTTTGCGGTCAGGAGCCTGATAATTGGAAGAAACTGGACCCAACTTTTCCAAAATGGCCCGCAGATTTAAAGCCCGTGGATGTGAATGCCTGGTCAGTGGTAAAGGATGGGGTCACAGGAGCACCTTGTAGTGCATATTCGCCCGGGGCTTTGCTACCATCTTGCTTTCCGAGCGACAGGGAAGATTCTTTCTGTGAGACACGGGCGAGATAAATTATGACGCACAGGATAACTTGTGCCGGTAGTTGTGGACAGACAGTACGGCAATATGAGGTCGGTGCAGTGAAAGTCTTACTCTGTAGGCGAGAATCATTTGACCTTGGCTGCTTGGCTAGCTTGGTAGCTTGGGTAAGGCGAACTCGGCTTGTCTGGGTTGCAACCATTATTACTTGATTACCTCGATCAGTCCGGGGTCAGCCATCATCAATCTTGTCGCTTGTCTTCTGCCGCCCCCCGAAAGCGGCGCCGGAAGCGCCCTAATAAAGTGCTTCAGTCCTGCAAGCCTCCAGATGTTCCCCGCTTCGTCTCCGCTCTATTGCCGTGCCGAGCACTTGGCTCTGCTGACGGATCAATCTTTAGAGGATTTCTGTGAGCTTTGTGTACTTATATGACACAGAAACGAGGTTCATTCATTTGGTAGGCTAGTTCAATATCCTTCTATTGTATCTTTTATCGAGCTCTGTTTGAACAGCTGTGGTTAGAGGTCCCAGAGGCAAAAAAGAGACAGCTGCAGCTGTAAGATGGAGATACTTCCTAGATAATTTATAAAACTGCTCTAAATCTTAGGACTAACACGGGAAATGTGATCCTAAGTTTAGGACTCGAGTACCTAAAGATATTCTAATCCTACTTACTAGAAATGAAGGAAATATCTATTCAGTCATTCTTCTTCTTTCAACTCTGAATGGATGATAAATAGGTACGGAGTACGGAGTACCATTTCATCATCTTCAGCCGAGGCTGGGGGTGGCGGCGCCACTGCATGATAGCATTGGCCAATCACCTTTCAGAGTCTGTTTCGTCATCAATATCGCCTATCACATCACATTACGGAGTACAACTTCCTGTTACAACTCAGGTTCCTTTCACGTTCCAACCTTCACCAATATCATTATTCAGGTTCCCATCACATGAGTAAATAAATCCAAAAGGCCCCTGGAGCTGCCAAGACGCCTTCATCATGAGTCGGATGTGAGTTCAACACCTACAGGACCTTAACCATTATCTCCCTCCACTTTCCGGACATCGTCATCCAACCCGGACCAAATCCACCATCGAGGCTTGAGACTTATACTAAACCACAATACTCAGTAACTCCTCCCATCAGGAGCAGGAGAAAATGCCAGACGAGAATACGCCTCTCATCCAAACCGTTCGGGTCGGCCCTCCCCGGAGGAGGTATCCTCACCAGACCTGGCGTCGATTCTTCACTCTGATTTGCTCCGTGATTCTCTTCGGCGGTTTTGGCTTATTCGTGTTACAAACCTTTTTCATTGGGCCTCGTCATCATCACGGCCACCCTGGCTCTTGGTTACCCGGTAAGAGCCGTCTAAGCTATGAGGAACTCGAGCGTATCCTCTTTGATACGCCGGACCCCAAGAAGGCTGAGGAATGGAGCCGTTATTATACATCGGGTCCCCATCTGGCCGGCGCCAACTACTCACAGGTAAGGACTCATAATAGGTTGCCAGCTTTAGTTATCGTGCTCATCTTCTCTAGGCCGAATGGACCAGGGATCGATGGGAAGAATTTGGTGTCAAGTCTGAGATCGTGGCTTATGATGCCTACCTCAACTACCCCGTCGATTCCAGCGTTTCCATTCTAAAGAAATCGAAGAATGGAAAAGACTGGGATACCACCTTCAAGGCCTCTCTCGAGGAAGACGTTATTGACCAAGATCCCACAACGTCCCTCGAAAACCGCGTGCCCATCTTTCACGGCTACTCGGCGAGTGGAAATGCCACTGCTTCCTTCGTCTACGTCAATTATGGTACTTATCAAGACTATCAAGATCTTGTTGATGCCAAAATTGATATCAAGGGCAAGATTGCTATTGCTCGATATGGAGGAATCTTTCGAGGCCTCAAGGTCAAACGTGCACAAGAGCTCGGTTTCGTTGGCATCCTGATATACAGTGACCCTGGTGATGATGGAGAAAGGACCGAGGAGAAGGGGTACAAGCCTTACCCTGAAGGGCCTGCACGAAACCCCAGTTCTGTTCAGCGCGGAAGCGTAGAGTTTCTGAGCATTCGCCCTGGCGATCCGTATGTCCCCATAATCCTGAAAAGAAAAGACTTGACTGACCTTCTAGATCTACCCCTGGATATCCTTCCAAGCCTGGTGTTCCCCGAGCACCAGTCGATGATGCAACCCCTTCTATCCCCTCCATTCCTATATCATACCGTGATGCCCTCCCGATCCTCAAAGCCCTGAATGGTCACGGTCCAAAATCCACCCACTTTAACAAGTACTGGAACAGGAATCTCGGCCTGAAGTACAAGGGCATCAAATACAACATCGGTCCCACTCCGGATGATGTTGTTATCAATCTTTATAACGAACAGAAATATGTCACTACCCCTCTCTGGGACGTTATCGGCGTCGTCAATGGTACTATCCCCAATGAAGTTATCGTTGTTGGAAACCACCGAGACGCCTGGATTGCTGGCGGGGCTGGCGATCCCAACAGTGGCTCTGCAGTCATTAACGAGGTCATTCGAGGAGTTGGAAAGGCCGTCGAGGCTGGCTGGAAGCCTCTCCGAACCATCGTCTTCGCGAGCTGGGATGGCGAGGAATACTCACTCATCGGCAGTACCGAATGGGTTGAGGAATTCCTCCCATGGCTCTCAGAAGCAAATGTCGCCTACGTCAATGTTGACGTCGGCGTCGGTGGCCCCGAGTTTTCTGCTTCCGCAGCTCCTCTCCTCAATCAGATCATCCGCGACGTCACAAGCGCTGTCCCTTCGCCCAACCAGACTATCCCTGGTCAGACAGTCAATGACCTCTGGTCGGGCAGGATCGCTACCATGGGCAGTGGCAGTGATTTCACCGCGTTCCAGGATCATGCTGGTATTCCCTGTGTTGATTTTGGGTTCAAGGAAAGAGGTAACAGTGCTGTGTATCACTACCACAGCAACTATGACAGCTTCTACTGGATGAAAGAGTACGGTGACGTTGGATTTAAGTACCACAGGACTATGGCTCAGATCCTTGGTCTGACCATTGCCAAACTTGCTGGGACCGTGATTATTCCATTCAGTGCTACCGAGTACGCTGATGCATTGGGGGGCTATCTTGACCAGGTTGAGGCTAAGTTGGAGTCTACCAAGTACGCTCTTACTGAGGAGGATATCTTCAATATCCGTGGTGCTGTCTCATCAGGCAAGCCGATTGGCAACGAGGACGATTTCAAGACGAGCCTCAAGGATATTCGTGACCTCCTTGAACACTTCCACCTGAAGGCTAGCGAGCTCGACGCTGAAGCTGAAATCGCCAAACATCAGCTTGAGCAAGGTATTCCGTGGTGGAACATTGTTGAAAAGATTCGGCTCGGCTATACCATCGTCAGGGTCAACAGGAGATATAAGTTGCTCGAAAGGAGCTTCCTCTACGAAGGAGGCCTGGATGGTCGAGACTGGTTCAAACATGTTGTGTTTGCGCCCGGGATCTGGACCGGTTATTCTGGAGGTGAGTTTCTAAGCGAACTGAACATTACCCATATGCTGACGATTATATAGCTGTTTTCCCTGGTTGGGTTGAGAGCATCGACGCCAAGGACTACATCAACGGTCTCAAGTGGTCCGCCATCATTGGACGCTCCATTAACAATGCCATTGATAGCCTTTCGGATTAGGCTGCTTTGGTCCTGGATCTCATTTAGGATCTGTGGAGCTACTTATGCTCAAATGTAAAACTGATTAGCAGGTCTTAGTGCTATTTCATTTATACGGCAGAATTCAGCAAAGTGTTATACATTTTTAACCTGTTTACCGCCGTTATGTGCTATGTCTGGTTTCCTGCCTTATACCCCTTATGAACCCGAAAGCAAATCCCCAAAAATATCAGAATCCCGTGAACCGTTCCGTGTTGTGTCTGTTGCCTTATACCCCTGGCATGCCCGAAAACAAAATCAGAATCCCATGCATTCCCTTTAAAACTGCATTCAATCGCTTGTCCTTCTTGGACAGCTGCTTTGTCATAGTATCAAACCCGTCCTGTCCTTTCTTTGCGAGTTCTACCATGGCGTTTTCTACCCGGTTGAACCTCTCTGCCATTTGTGTGGACATTCCATGGAGTGATAGGGCGAGAGTGCCCGCATCTGCCCCCGGGGCCTGGGTTGATGCTGCTTCCCAGCCCCTGACCGTGTCTTGTAAGGTCATGATCTGTCGCCGAAGAATCCGTTCGGTATCGTGGGCCTGGGTGAGCTGGGACACAGTGGCTCTGACCATAGCCTCGGCATCCTTCTGTTTTGACTTGGCAACATCGAGCTGGGAAACAGTGTCTTTGAGTTTGGCCTCGAGGTCCTCATGGTTTGAATTGGCGCTGGATTGGACCCTGATGTCCTGAAGTGTAGTCGAGATGTCTTCGAGCTGAGACTTGGTTTCTCTGAGTTCAATCTCGGCGTCCTCCTGTTTTGACTGGGCAATGCTGAGTTGGGCCTCGGTGTTAGACAAATCATCATCCTGCTTCTGGATCCTGTTTTTGAAATTTTCGATAAGTTGGGACTGCTTTAACTTAATGTCATTAAGATCCCTGTTTTCCGAGTACGGTTTCTTGAGCTTGTCGTTATCGGAATCAGTATTCTGTTGAATAACAGACTCCAAATACTGTTTCCGTCTAATCAACTTGCTGTTGGTTTGATTCGGCGTTTACCCTTTCTCTTGCCTGGTGTAGTTTTTGCTTTGTTGTAAGGATTAGTGCCTTCATTTGCTTAGCGTTCAGTTTGTCGAGATCAGGTTCGTTTTCCTTGTCGAGGTCGATATGGATGGCCTCGCTGCCTGTTTTCTGTTTCTTTGGTGTAGAAAGCCTCTCGATCTCCTGAGCCTCATCTAAAAGATCTGCGTTTCGCTTCTTTCCTTTCTCACCAGTATTAGTGTTGTCAGATGCTTTGCCCTCTTTGTCTTTAGGCTCCCTGTCCTCTTCATTGTCAGACTCTTCGATGTCTTCGTCATTAGACTCTTCATTGTCTTCATCATCGGAATCTTTGACGTTCTTTCCCTGTTTTCCCTTCTTGCTCTTGTTGTCCTCCTTTGTTTTAATAGGCTGAGGAACATTCCCGTCCCATTTGTCTTTAATAGTCTCATCGGACAGGCCAGGCGGGAACCATGGGCTTGTTCCAGGGAACTTTATTCCCAGTGCTTGGACATAGCAGTTGCAAGATTAATTACAACAGGCTTGTTAGGCCAGATGGCCGAAACAACTACCCACATGCCAAAGTGAAGCTTCTGGCTTGTACGTCCATGACCCTTCATGATCTTGTAAAGTCGGTACTGGCTTGGTCTGGTGTCAGATGTTACCCAGTTTTCTGTTGACAGAAAATCGATAAGCTTGTCCAGCGCAACCTGGGGCATTCCGTCTTTGATCTTGTTGTAGGGTTCAGCGACACGTTTGACGTTGTCCTTAGCCTTGCGCTTGTTCTTCGTTTTACTGATCTCATCTTGAAATTGTTTCACCCTGAGGACAGGGACGAGTTTAGGCGGCATGATTGCTGTCGGCTATCGTGAAGTCAGTAAGGTCAAATGGGTAAGAGGTAGATAGGTGAGAGTGGAGAGGGGAGTTTGAAGATCTCAGGAGGAATTCCAGGTAAGGAATCTAGAGATGCATCGCATTGCCACAAAACTTGATAAAAGAAATAAAAAAAATAGAGCACTATATAGCCAATACTTACGAGAGTAGGTACATGCAGTTAAATAGCTTCTGCGATGCGTTGTGGTTGTGTAAATTGAGGCTAAATAGCCTTGGGTTAGTGGTGATGATGATGAGGGAAGAAAGTGGCTCACGATCTGAAATTTTGGGAGTTTTATATCAGGTTTCTAGGAGTATGTAGCTTGCCTCTATAAAATTTATTAACTATCTAGCTAGTAATGGATATCTTCTATAAAAAACAAGCTTGCATTAATTGTAGTAAGTAACTTAAATTGTTTCGGAGGGATAGCAGGACAGAACAGTATGACGACGGGACAGGATATAAGACGATAAAGAATATAAGACAATATATGCTAGAAACATGCCATGAACGCGACATATTGTGTGGAGAACACAAAAATGAATAGGCTCATAACGTCCCGCATCTAATGATGGAGGCAGTGGATAATAAAAGCGTTGGATCTTTCTTGATATTGCTACCAAATTGTAGTTTATATAAATCTTTCATCATGATGCCACCATTTCAATCTTCGCCACCATGATGTATTGGTATCCCATCCTGCACAAAGAAAATACCAGCCTTTGGTATAATGATAATTTGGTACTTTTCCCACACGTTCGAAAAAGAAGCCTCGCAGCGCCTATATCACTGCTAGACGTTATATGATGTCCCCTTGCCCTGCCCGTGATGATGCTTCCGTTATCAACGCCCATGTAATGCCCACTGCCGCGCTGTAAAAAAGGGGGAATCATATTGTAAAAGACCAAGCAAGCCCATAAGATAATCTTGAGATTAAAAAGAAATAAGCAACCTCCCGCGGTTAGTTTTTGATGTAAATGCTTGTAATGTGTGGTGAAGAATGGATAGTCATGATCATCATGACATATAATATCAGCATTGCGGTCATCTGAGCCGCATACCTGATCAGCTAAACGAACAATACGTGGGCGACCTTCGAGGGTCACTTCCACGCTTAGTAAACGTATGGTGAGATTCCTCTCCGGACATCGGGGGCTCTGTACCCCTCTCGCCCATGTCGCTCCCAGTCTCCATGACTGGGATGCGGTCGTGGATGAAGTTCGGTTGGATAGTGAGCATCCCGCTCTCCATCCTCCCATCTCTCACTGCGCCATGGTATCCTGTGGTGCTCGTCTGCACTTCGACTGCGCACCTGGTGTTGATCATGCACACAGGAGGGATGCTCGCGGAAATGTTCCAGATCAGCGTCCATCTCACTGAGTCGCAGGTAGCTGTGTCCAACCCAGCGGTCGATCGTATCTGCAATCTGGCGGAAACCCTCGGTATGACCGCCCTCATGGCGGGCTTTGAGACCACATACCACAAAGAGATAGCTGTGGATCATCTCGTGTAAGAATGTCGAGATGAGAAGCCGCCGATTATACTTTGTATCCTGGAGGATAGGCGATGAAAGTACAATAAGTGTCTCATAGCCTCCGTCACGGGAACGTCGTACCGCTGTGGTGCCAACAATGTGCGCCTGATACTGCGCGCTTGCAGGGTGGCTCCAGTCCCATGCGACACGACCAGCAAGACGGTTGCAGAAGAAGAGTTCGTTTGCGGCGGAGAAGATGCTGCGCAATGCGTCGTTGTCCAAGGGGAATTCTGCTGCTCGAGACTTTGGGTTGATGAGCGCTCTGAGAATACGGCTGTGGCGTGAGTCGGTGGTGCGATGCCTTCGACGACTGGAACCAAAGTTGGCAACGTGATCACGGACCAGACGTGCGGCGGCGAGGTCACTCAGCAATCCTGGGTCGTTTTCATCGGCGGCGGGTGATAGACTGGCGAGTGATGGCTGAGTGGTATCGGAGGAGATAGAGAGACCAGATGCTGTGCGTTCCATAGCGCATGCATCGGCGACGGGAGCGGGCGCCGGAGTGGGTGCCGGAGCTGGACCGGAAGGGCCGAATACAGGTCCCGGCCGGGATTCGGGAGCTGGACCGAAGGCGGCATCGATAGAGGGGAAATCGGGTCCTTCTGGAGTTGGTGAACGTTCGCGAATGACGAGAAATGAGAGGTTCCTGACGGGAGCTGAGTCAGGTCGATGGATCAATGGAGGGTAGTTTTCAATGGCTTCGTTGTATAAGAATTCGTCCTCATGATCAAAGGGGTGATTGTGCGGATATGCTTTGTTGATAATGTGAACTCCAGAATGAAATGCCGGTAGTGGTTGTGGATAATAAGGCGATGCATGATCTGACGAAGCATAACCACTTGGTGCAGCTGCAGCTACAGCTACAGAGATGGGTGCACTGTCGTAGGCGTCGTAGGGAAGCTCATCGGCGAACCTGGTTCTTTTGGGATCAAAAGTGAAGCCATCGCCGCCTTCGGAGACGCTCACTCGCCTTTTACCACCCACATAGTAGGGACCCCGGCCAGTAGCAGCAGCGGTAGCGGCAACAGTAGCGGTAACACCAAGCGGACGACCCCCGTCAACCACCCAAAAGGCCATGTGACATGCTCATCGACCTGGGCCGGGGGGTGGGTGGTTTTTGTTGGGAATTGATAAGCGTAGAGGGAGAGAGGATCACATAGGGGGTCACAGTATGTGATTCTCGGAGAAGCTTGGACAATTAGGAGATGATTTTTGCTGGTGAAAGAAGAGAGTTTTGAGTTGAGGGATCGATGTCGGTGAGTCCGATGGACGGTCTTGGGGTGGCGGATTTGATGAGACGAGATGGAGACGACGCGTGAGCAGTCCAGTTGCAGTGCCAGTTGAGTCGAGTTGAGTTGAGTTGCAGCGCTGTCACAGTCGCAATAGCAGCCCGAGGAGCCCAGTTAATGAGGAGACGGACGGGGGGCGGCCGGGTAGGAATTGGATCCGAAGAATGGAGAAGAGACAAGAAAGAGAGAGAAAAGATAAAACAAACCAGAAACAGAAGAGACGATAATAATACTAATAATGATAATAAAAAAGTCTATGTTGAGAAATGCATTCAAGGATCGAGAAATTCGATGGTCTCAGACCTTGACCGTAAGTTCTCTTTGGTAACCTCCCGGTCTGATACAAGACAGTTACAGTTACAGCAGAGAGAGTACAGCAGAGAGAGTACAGCACAGCACAGCACACAGCACAGCACGGCAACCTCAGCTCAGCTGCTGCAATCGCGGGACGAGCCAGGACCAAATATGATGGAATGGATCCCATCCACTAACTTATTATCTCGTTTTCAGGGCGATCGATTAGTTGGTTTTAGTCCCGTCGCTGTTAAACGTCGGTCGCCAACTGACAGGGCCTAGCAGTACAGGGGGGGCCACACACCCCTGTCGGCCTCATCACAGCCCAGAGCCAGTGTCTTCTGCGCTGGGGAATCCTTGTCTCTGGTGGTTTGTGAGGCGCTGGAGGACCTGCAATTGATTCGAGATCGGATGTGGTGGGAGGCGGCATGGATGACAATGACACGACAACTGCGAGATGGACCGTTCAGTGGATTTAAGAGGCGCCTCACTTGAACTACTGGATGATTACAGAATACCAATTGAGCCTCTATGAGATTTATTGACATTACCAAGTTGATTACAGCCATCAATTGCTTGCGGTTAGACTGAGGAACCCTGCCTTGCTACTTGAGATTGCTTCCATCTTCCGTTCCGTCGCCAACCCTCAACTGGCATGGCGTCTTCTACACCTTGGCTGCGTCTGTGTTTTATTTCTATTTCTATATAGCGGTGTAATTGTACACATTCGCCGATATTTCTTGTTTTCTCTACACTACAGTCACTGTGTCACGATAGTTTCTCGCACCAAGTACAGCAGCCCCTTTCCCTTCAGTCGGACGAGTTGCGCCCGTTTTTTCTATAAAAAGGAAAACCCGGCCGAAACAGTCGGACTGACTCTGATCTTCAGGGATTTACCCATTGAGTTTCCGAATCCAGGACAGCACCACATCAGCCACTGTCGATTACTCGAGGCTTCTTCTCCAATGATCTCTGGCTCTTGGCATGATAGACAACGGCACATGAGCTTAAGAATCAAGACCAAGACCCGGCTGGAGCTCCATCGTCTAGCTTGGGAGCAGGCTTCCTCACTGCAAGGCGAACTAAAACACCAGGCACTCACTCACTCACTGACTGACTGTCAAGCTGACAACGCACCACGGTTATCTCCACTACCAAGTCCACTTCCTGTCAAGGGTTGACAAGCACCGCGTGTCCGAGGCCGGGATACCCTTTTGGACCTGGCTGCAATCATGCGCGTATGAGCAATTGGCTATAGCAGAGATCCATCTGTGCTTCACAGGGCTTACTGCCTACCCCTATTGGCGATTCCCACTGAGGCTCATACGTGGTTTCTTTAATGTCGAGAGCCCAATACAGCATTGAGGCCTTCTAACTTGTCCCGATAAGCAACAGAATCTGCCGTCTTGACCTGTCCGTAAGCGCTCACTCTGCCGAGACCCTCATTGGCCAGGGGGTGTAGATCCCTGTCCGCGATTGGTTGCCCTGGTTTTCTTGAACTTCACGTCAATCGATGCTTTTCCTTTCCCTGGCATTTCTGGAAGTCTATTCGTTCCATGTTTTGCGAATAGAAGAACCGGTAATTAATGAGACACCAGGGTTCTGTTCAAAGCACGGGCTCTCTGCAATCAAGCCGCTGTCGTCAACTTGAGATCTGTGAGTGCGAGTGACAGCTTGGTATGACATGCCATGACATGCCATGCAAAGCTAGCTTGGCTCTTTGGTATTGACTGCCAGGGATATCGTGGACTTAATCTACGGTCTACGGAGTACACCGTAGAATTGCCGTGCTTCTGGTATCGTATCGTCTCATCTGTCTCTTAGCCTCAGCTTAACGCTCGAGACTTGGATCGTGCTCTAAGCACGGTGCTCTTACACTCCACTTCTTCTGGTAACACCGTATAATAATAAGATCGATCTCGTAAATACAGATTCAGGGCCGCCCTCTCATCAAGGTCGATCAAGACAGTCTCAGTCCATCATCATCATCATCAGCTTCGCCTAATTCTGACCACAACTACAGCACTAATGTCTTGCTTGCATAAATCAGCCCTCATCATCTTGCACCCGGATGCAAGTATCCTTTTCCTGTGTAGTATGCCCATGTTACTAGCTTTATGCTTGTTAGTTTTGCTCATCATTCATTCCTAGTGCCCGCTCAACTACCATATCCACCAATTCTTCGCCACGCGCCTCAATATCCAGTGTTCACTAACGTTTCGACCCCCAAAAGACCCTTTCTCCACCGACGATCACTGTGTCTCGTGATGCTGATATTGTGCGGCACTCATAGTCAAAAGATTGAGTTATTTTTCTATGTGCCGGGATTGCTTATTTCTTTGGTTAGAGCCTCCTTTTCATCCTAAGTTCGTAGCTCGACAGATCCTCTCCATATTTCGCAATGTCGCCGAAAGCCTCCCCATTATCGCACTCTCAGATCCAATCGCCCTCTTTTTTCATTATAACCCAAGTCCTTGAACAAACCTAGCATCATCAGCCTGCTTCTCCAGTGCTTCCCGCATCCTTTGAGAATACTGCTGGCGCTGATGCTCTTCTACCGCGACCTCCTTGTTCTTTTCCTGGAAATCGTCGGGCGTGAACAAGGTATCTCCTGTGAAACTAACCATACCAAGCTTATCTCCCGTCCAGAAGATGACATTGTCTTCGTTTGGCCGGTCACGATCTTGCCTTGTCTTGGTGGATAAGATCTTCCTTGCGAGATCGTCGGACCCTGGCATGGAAGCGAAGAGTGATGCTTGAGTGGGCACGTCACTGTGACCGACCTTGATCCGACGGCACTCCGTATATCCGTCCCTCTCAAACCACTTAATCTGCCCGGCCCCATCTGAGAATGCAACCTTTGTTCCGTGGTTGATCACCGACAGGATGATGGATGAAGCTGCAGTATAACGATTCTTCATAGTTGAGTTCTGCTGCATGGGCCCGTCACTTGATAGGTCGACAGCGTCCAGACCATATACCTCGAGCGAGCCTTTGGTCTTGTACTCTCCGCCTGCGATTAGAGTTCTCCCGCTACCGGCTGTCTTGCACTCATGGACCCTCTCAGCTGTGAGTTCTCCACGACGTCGTACTTCATGGTCCAGCGTGGAGAATGGATAAGGCAGCGCCGCCAGACTGGACAGCCTTGAGCCCGAGTAAATGGACCCCATGATCTTTGGGAAGTGGCGCCTATCGTAATGAAGAATATTGGAGAACCTCCCCGCCACGTAAATGTCGTCCGACACTGCACTGTCGCCGGCTGGTCTTGGTAGGTGTAGAATACTCGTTGGCGTTGGCTGAGACAGTGAGGCGTACGGCGGCAATGGATTCGGATCAAATATCCCCTTGAAAGGATTGTCCTCCTCCCCCGGGATATCTAGCCTCTCCACGACATCTCCATGGAATTGTGATGGCGCCCTGAAGTCTTGAAGATGGATACCCAATGAGGTGCCGACAGTCATTGGGATACCATCCTGGATCTGTGACAGGGTCGTGATTGACCACTCGAAAGAGTGCCGGTTTACAACTTCAAGGCGGCTGAGATCGACTTCGATGAGATCTACAATTGCGGTTATTAGTGAGGGGCAGTTGATTATCGTTTCGGCACTTACGACTCTGCACAGCAAAGACAGCCCTGTTGTTGCTGTTATTAACACTGACGCATTCAGTGACACCTGTGTCGATCTTTTTGGACCGCCTCGTGTTCTGATCACCACGGCCGTCGAAGAATAGGATGTCCGGTTTACTGGTCGCGATAATGCCCCCTCGCTTGCCCCTCGTGCCATTAACGTCCCAAAGACATACAGACCCGTCGTCGAGTGGTGAGACAGCCATCAAACTGCCGATGCCATCATCGCCATTGTTAGGGCTGAATAGGGACATACCTCTGACCTCGATGAAATGCTCCATAGTGCCTTGTTTCAAGCGTGGCGTCTCAAGCCAGTTGATAGCAGGCGGTCCCTGACGTTGGATATATTCGTTATACCACGAGACATGCTCGTCAGGAAACGCAGGGTCCCAGTTTGCCATATCTTGAAGGAATTGATAATGGCGTCTGTCAAATCGACATGAATCATCTTGGTCCAGCAGAGAACCATTTTCGTCTTCAGCTTCTGTGGCATTGCTTAAAGATGGCTCAGGTAGAGATGCAAAGACCTTTCTCCGATTTCGAAGAAAGGCATACCATGATGAGCGCTCAAAACAGTGGCGTTTCCACAATTCACCATCAAGAACAACTTCTCTAAAATTTCGTGAGACAAGCTGAAGTTTGGGCAATTGATGAGGCTCAAGGTCTGACGAAGCAAAAATACACGTGGTCAGTAAAGCAATTGGAATTGATTAGGTATGGAACGGTATGATTTAGGCGATGGCGGGGTACTGAGGGGATAAGAATTAAGGCGAGGTAAGGTAAGCTGGGCGCAACTCACAGCACAAGATCTGGAGGAGGATCTCATGGGGGAGCTCGTCCCAGTGACTCGAGGTTTGTGCGCACAATGTCATTGTCATTGTCATTGATTGATTGATTGATTGTCCTAGTATGACCCTCGAGAAACTCAATGAGCTAAACGTTGGATTGTTGTTAAAGTAGAGTTGAAGAGAAGCGAGAGCTAGAGAGCTGCTTCGGTTGGTCCGTTGGTTGGTAAAGTTAGCCGTGGATCGATTCGACTCGATCGCCACGCTGATTTGCGATTCCTAAACCAAAGTGTGGAGTGGCCAGACGGGAAGAGACTTGGCAAAGCTTGTACTGTATTTTTTCGAGATAGATAGATGCTTTCAGTGGGGGGGGAGTGCAATAAGTCGTCTTGTTAGTGCTGCGATGCAAGCGTGACAGCGACGTTAACAATGACAGGTACAGGTACAGGTTGGGTTGGGTTGGGTTGGGTCAAGATCGGGTTGAATCTGATGGGAAAGGGAGCGAGCGAGCGAGCGAGCGGGTCGAAGGGGTTGGAACTTGGAAGGATTGACAATGGATGGACATTGTGACATTGTGACATTGGCTCGACATTGATTGACTGGGATTGTCGCGATAAGCGATCGGACGAACCGGCAGTTAGAAAAAGGCGCCCTTACGCCTATTCTGACGCCCAATGTCTTGACTAAGTAGCCAGCCGTGAAATGTGTCAACTGCACGGAAGAGTCTCCAATTGGAGGGTTTTCGAGGAGCCAATCTCGATCAAGGTAAATCAAAGCACTAACTGTCTTGACCGCAAATCATTCAAGATTAGAATACTATGCATGGGATCATAAGCTGAGAAGAGTTTATATAGACCGAGGCAGCTTAGTCTAAACTTTGTCATGACTGTGAGGAGTGATCCATATTCTTCATCGACCATTTACTCGAGAGGATGAAACGATTGCTTATTTGCTACCTATAATTGACATAAAAATTATAGACACCTGTGTAGCATTGGAATTTGAGCCAACATCAACTTGGCATCTAGTGCAGACCGGCAATCTCAAACCACGCCTGTAATCACCCCAGTGTCTTCATCAGTGCACAAGATATTGTAGGTACCAGACTTCAAATAGCCCAGGGTATATCAGGAATTACGAAGCAATTGATTATTAGACTGTTACAAAAATAACCAATTGTGCTTAAGTGGTGATATCGCTTGTTGAGTGGATGCTAGTTTTAAAAGGGACATACTTTAGCATCTTGACTCTTCTGACAACCCCAAGGCTACTTTACCCGTCTGCTTCAACTCAAAAGATCTCTGTTCATATAAATCAATACAAAGAGCTTATAAATACACTTGTTAAATCCCCCGAAATACAATCTAGCGTACTCTGGTCACTGGCAGCTGTTGGCACTGCTCCCACCAAAATTTACAGCTACCAAACCTCATCCTCCCGATGTGAACCCTCAGAACCCCCCAACCTCCCATTTCATTCACTGCGGCGAGCATGGCGAGTTTGGTGCCTCAGTCAACATCTTAAACCCAGGCGGGGGAATTCCCCTCGCTATAGTGAGCGTAGTCGTCTCATTCATCTCTCAATCATCAAGCTCTTCGACCCGTCGTGATAAACACCGTTTCCCGCACACGCCGAAAGTCAACACTGCTTGAAAAAAGACACTCCGCTATACTAAAACTGCGCGCTCTGAAGTTATTTGTTGATCAGTTGAAGGATATATCGGTCTACTTTGAAATTACATCACGCACGTTGAACATCTTCCAGGCTCCTCTCTTTTCTGCGCCTCACTTCACTTCGTTTTATAGCACCGTCACTCATTCAAAGCTTTATACTTTCTACATGCTTGAAGATCCTTCAAGCTTCAACATGAAGCCGCTATCCGAGAATGTAAGTAACACACTCTTTCACTTACAAACACTCAAATACTAATGTCAACAGTCGCTTCCATACACTGAGAGCGACAATTCGGCCCGAGATACGCGTCACGGGCGTAACACCACTTCCTCTTCCATCTCATGTCATTCGGATCCTTTTGCGACTTCTGGAATTGAGGTTGAGGATGGTGTTCAGCTACGCGACTTCTCATCTCCAGGCCCTGTCATGTCTCGCTGTATGAGCCCAGACCCGACCAGATTTGTTGCTGAGCGCCCATCACGACTCAACAATGAGGACGCTGGCCTCGCTGTGCCAAAGATCAATGAGCCTTTAAGCGATGACCATGCCCATTCCGAATGGGAGACAGTCGCTGGAGAGGATGCCTTTGAAAGCCATGCCGAATCTTCAACTCGGCCGCTGAAACGTCGAGGTAACTTCAATTTTGGGAACAAACAGCAAGCCCAGTCTCAGCCGAATCAGAACCTCTGGGTACCGCAAACGCACAACTTTGAGCTCGTCTCACCTGGAGACCCGTCCGTGCGAAATGTGCCGAGATCAGCTCCCCGTTTGCACTCGTTTCACTCCTCGTCCAGCTTCTACAGCGAATCACCTCGCAACAAAGACCCAGACACTTGCGTCCCTTGCGATCCCGAGGACTATCCACAGAACAATCATATGTACTCTCGTGCCTCATCCGACAGTGATGAGGACCCTTTCAAGTATGACACAGATGCATACTCGGGCTTTCTACGTTCATCGGCCGAGCGAGAAGTCAGTAATGCGCTGCACCAAGCCGGCTTAGCCGTCTCCTCAATGGAAACGCTCCCGCGATCTGCTGATGGAAGCTTTCCCCTCGCTTCACAGAGAGTCGCTCCTGTTGCATCCTTTTACAATGCTGCGGCTATTCATTCGGCTTAGAATGTCGATGAAGAGGTCAAAGTTCCTGTTCATCGGGAGGAAAAAGCGATCCGCCGTGTCCCCGTCCCTGATAGACGACTACAAGGTGAAATTGCTTCTCTTGTCAAGAAGCGACCTCTCACCGGCACGGAGGGTGATTGGCAGACTGTCACGACCGAGCATGCCTTCGACTCGATGCAACAAGACTACCACGACAGCATTGCAAAGGGGACTGGAAGCAGTGTCGCTGATGTATCCGACGTGACGGAGCGTGAACTTCATCCTCGCTCTTACGGCTCAAGAGACAGAATCATTCGGCATCCTCCTGGGAACAACAAGTGCGGCTCATACCGCGTTCGCACCGACAGAGGAACGAAACTCCCCGTATCTGTCCCGCAGTATGGTGAAGGTCCTGGAACGTATGCCTCAAATACAACTCGCAACTTTTCCCAGGCCAAGTCACGATTACCTGAATCTGCCGCTCGCTTCTCCAATCTGTTTCGCAGGGAGCCATCTGAGCAGACGCCCGACCATGAGAACATCCTCCTCTCAGACCTGCCTCCCAAGAGAGGCAGCTATCAGAGCCTCGACTCGGACGCAGCTCCTCATAGAAACGCCCAAACCGATGAAACGATTTCTCCAGACGGCGAAAAATACTTCGGCTTCAGTTGGAATAGAATCCGAAAGAATCTCGGTCGTGATCCCCCAAAAMCCCCCCTGACTATTTTTGACAAGCCACTGTACAAAAGACGGTTCCAGGAGTCCAACTCAGACAAGCCTGCCCACGTTCCTCATGATGATTTCTTGTCCAAAATTCCTCGTCTTCCGTTTCCTCTTGTCAGTCTTCCCGAGGCTGCGATGCTGCAGCAGTTCAAACGACAGAGAGGTGAAGAGGATCACAGTCAGAGTGCAGGCAATTTTGGGGTTAGGGGAAGGTCGACCACGATCAGCACTGAAAACTCTCCTCCTCTCCCAAAAACTCCTTCTCCTCCAAAGAGAAGTTTTTGGCCTTCGTCCACGAGTGGCGATGTCACACGACCTGCCCGTATTCTTCACCTTCATCGACTGCCTCAGGCGCATCGTCCCCGTAATTGTAAGTTACTGGGGTTTCATGTGTAAATATTACTGACGAGGTTATAGCAAATGACAGAGTCACTGATATGCTCGTCTCATCCTCCGCTATCCTCGACACTCCCCCTCCTACCGACCCAAAGTCAAGTACTCACCGTGTGTGGTATCGAAACTTCCAGCCAAGCATTTCAACATGTCGCACTAGAGCACATACTCCTGGATTCTCCACCAGCGTCAATAGTCGACGCGTCGGCCATTGCCAGTCTGAGTTTGATCCCATCGCCGACAGCCCCTTCACTCAGAGGGAGGCTCGCCTTATCGAAGAGGCCCGCGAGGATATTCGCATCCATCGCCAGCATGCTGACATGGTCGCCCAACGAGGAAAGCAAATGTTCATGTGGGTCATGATTCTCACTCTCTTCTTCCCTTTCATCGGCCCTATCGTGCTCTACGGCAAGCTCAACTCGACTATATCGTGGTACACCCACGGAGAAATGCAGTGCCTTACCAAGGACCAGCGCGGTACTCTCAAGCAGCAACTTCTCGTTGAGGCTGTTGTCTATCCCGCAATCATCATCGCCCTTTCAGTGCACTACTCGATTTGAAGGCCCAAGTCGGAATTCTCATGACAAGGTGGATTTTGGGATCGATTCTAGATGTATTTGGGAAAGCAACGTCAGCGAATTTGGCAAAGCAACGATGTACATAACGTGGTGGGATGAAAAATGATTGGGACTTAGGCATGGGCCTTGGGACATGACTGGTTTTGTGGTCTTTTGGCTCTATACCTACCTACTGGATGGTGGTTTACCCCGTTTCACGTTCACCAAAAGCAACATGCATGGGAAGACCAGTTAACTCGGAAAGAGGTGTGATTTATCTCATCAAAGCTTTTGGAATTGCTCAAAATATAGGCATATAGTAAGGTCGTCCTCGATGCTTGGTGACTTACGTGCCGTGTTGTTGAACTCGCACGCTGAAGCAGTTGTGGTCAGGAATCGGTGCCAATCAACCGCTAGTTTCATCAAAATGAATTTAAGGCTTCAGGGGTCACAATGAGGACATAAATCTTCAGCTAATCTGTCAACTGTGAACTGAAAAGAAAGCAGTAACTGTGACATATGCGGCAATATGACAGGTCTCTATTCTTAAATCACGATCGTGGTATCTGGAATCTCAGATTGGTTGTTCCTCTCCCCTTAGAGAAGTGTCCTTTGGCTGGTCGAGAGCCTATAGACTCATAGCACCAAGCCTCAGTACCATCTCACTCTATTACATTGATCCCAGTAGGCTGCATTCATACTCATCGAAGCAGCCACTTTCCGTCCCGAGACTTATTTCTTGCCAGAGTCGGACGAGTGAGTGTAGCCACTGGGAGACGTGTAGGTTGAGCTACCTTGACCATCGTTGTAGTACGTGCTTCCATTGGGGTTGGAGTAATAGTAGGAGCCATCTCTGGAAAGAATGTTAGCGCTTGATATACATCTTGTTCAGTTCACGCCTACGTGTTGGAGTAATGATAAGAGTTCGAGTTAGAGGCACTAGAACCGTAGTCTCGAGCGCAATAATGGTTGCCCTGAGATGTTAGCGGTGACACAATTAGGCGTGTAGATGATGATTCTAACCTGGCTGTTGGTGCCAGAGCTCTTGGTGGTGTAGTCCTTGGGCATGTTTACTCGTTTGAGGAGCCAGAAGATGGACGTGGTTTCGTTACTCTGAGGTGCTTGTGAGAGTTACTATCGAAAGTTCAAAAGAGCTTAAGTCCCGGGAAAGTGAGCCTTTTATAGTGAGGGGGCATTGTCCCAAACGATGCCATGCCATATTCACATCCATGTTTAGTTATCCCTTGTGATGATCTCATTGGTGGTTTGCCTATTGCAACTACTAAAGAGAGACAAGCGAGGATATCGTGTACCCCGCTTGTCGTCGAAGTTGCTAGGGAAGCTCGACTTGAGTTGGTTGATGTTAGCAATTGAGTTTCTTGTTAATTAGCGTCACTAGCTCAAAACAAGATAGCAGAATGATAGTGCTAGTATAGCACAATGTGGGCTCTATATAGAGCATACAGAGTAAAGCACAAACGACCAGGATTGAGTAAGCCGTAGAAGTTTGCTTCAATGCAGTTACGGAAAACTTTATAAATAATTGCGTTTCTTGATGAGATCATTGCTTCAATACTTTCTTGAAACTCGTGGTTTATGTGTGCTTACTGTCAAACCGGAAATTCCGGTCTGACCTGGGTTTGTAATATGCACAGGGTAACTCAACATTTGCGAAGTCAAACTTGACGTCGGGGGGACAAACAAGACTGTCTTATTGGCTATTCCCTCGTGAATTTCGCAAAATGTATGCAGTTAGGTCATCTTTGCTGTAGTTCTAAGTTGTTGTATGTAATTTGGTCCGAGTTTAGTTTCACGCCGCATGTTTGCTTTGTAAATGACAAGGATGTGCTGCAAGCTGCCTCCTTGGAACCGCCACAAGATTCTGGATAACACACATATAAAGCGAACAAGCTTTCTTCTTTTCCTCTAAAAATTTGAAATAACTATCAATCTCTAGGAATCTTATTTGCTGAACCAAACACTTTGTCTCATACAACTTTATAATAGCCAACACTGTGATGGCACCCAAAATTTTGCTGTAAGTACCAGTCATACAACTCTTTGTATAATATGTGGTCATTAAGAAAAACAACCTGTTTTTCTAGTACTGGAGTCACTGGTAAGAATAGTCCCTTAGACGGAACTTGCCCAAACTGACGCTTGTCAATAGGCTTTGTTGGAGGCACTGCCTTGGCCAAGATACACGATGCCCACCCAGATTATGACTATACCCTCTATATCCGTAGCCAAGATCGTGCGAAGATTATCTCGAAGAAGTACCCCAAGGTCAAATTCGCGTATGGAGACCTTGCAAATACTGATGTGATCGAGAAGGCTGCATCCGAAGCTGACGTGATTGTTCGTAGGTTCAACATACCTCAAGAATAAGACGAGAACCATGACTTACACTTGCGAATAGATACGGCAGAATCTGCAGACTCACTCCCATCGGCAAAGGCAATCGCAAGAGGTCTTGCCTCTGGCCATTCAAAGGAAAACCCGGGATACTACATCCATCTTTCAGGAGCAGGTATCCTGACCTGGTATGATCTCAAGAATCAGCGCTATGGTGAACCACCTTTAACAGAGCAGAGTTACCATGACATCTACGACATTGATCGCATTCTAAACCTTCCCGATGAAGCGATCCATAAGGATGTTGACAATGCTGTCCAGAGTATCGACTCAGATATCGTCAAGTTCCTCATTGTATCACCTGGTGTCATCCATGGAACTGGTCTCGGGTTGTTCAATAAGACTAGCATGACAGTTCCAGGCTTGGCTCGAGCAACATTTGATCTTGGCTACACCCCTTTCGTTGGAGCTGGAAAGGCAAAATGGGACTACGTTCATGTGGAGGACCTCGCAGACTTTTTCAACAAAGCTATCGAAGCAACCCAGGATCCCTCCAAGAAAGAAGACCCCGAGATATGGGGTAAGAAAGGGTACTACTTTGTCAGTGGCGGTCAACACCAATGGAAAGACCTTGCAACCTGGGTTGCCGAAGAGGTACATCGTCAAGGGTATATACCCGAGTCTAGAACCCAGTCTGTTTCATTTGAAGATGTAATCAAGAATGGGTATAAGGATGGAATTGCGTGGGCCATTAATTCTAGGGGAGAATCGGAGAGAGCGAGGAAGTTCCTGGGATGGGAGCCTAAGGCCCCGTCTCTCAAAGACACAGTTCGTGAGTCTGTGGCTTGGGAGGCTGGGATTCTCGATCCGAAGCCCAAGTACAAGTGAGACATAGGACGGGCAATAATTGACAGTAATTTGGTACTGATTTTGGGGCAAGAGTTTCATAGCGACTGTGGCCTGGATGGTGTCTGTGCAGATGTCATGACCTACCACTTTCATCCTGCAAAATATGAAGCTACTCGCAGAATTTACGCAGAAACAGTTAGTACAATTAACAGATTGCATTTGGGAATGACTTCAACCACAGTTGCAATGTCTCATCATGACAGTTCCCCAAAGATGCCTGGGCGTTTATCTCTCTTCATAGTCTTATCACATATTGGACTTCAACACTGTAGGTCCAACTATTGGCCGCCATTCTAAGCCAACAAGTACAATCTCATATTTACGAATATGTCTCATCACGCATTAGCTCACCTTCATTGGCATCTTTATTGTGATGTGACCTAGCACAGTCCGATGGCCTGAGATGTGTCTCCCGAGGCATCACGTGAGGTTTCTTCTATCATGCTGTAGACTGATCAACCCTTTGACGTGTATTCCTCGAAGCAACCACTCCTTCGCTGCTCCATATCTAATTCAAGGCTTAACCAAATAATGCTCAAGTCTCAAAAAGCCAACTCTATTACCAAGTTCCAGAGATAATACATAGCTAGAACAGCCTCTACATCAATCTGATATTATAAGAATAATTTATAAGTTATTTTAAGGTCACTAAGAGTCGCCATTTATCAGATAGTAAGTCAAAGAGAGGTATTACGATAGGACTGGTGGCTGCAAGTGAGTAAGTTCATAATTCATACTTACAAGTCGTTCAAAGACGTCGCAAGGCACGAGGGTCAGTGGTAGGATCTGAATTTGGTGTTTTATTAGCTAACATTCCTGCGATGCTTGGCTGATTTGCAGTGTCTGTCGTAGCGAGTCTTGTTTGGATAGGAAATACCACAAGGTGTACACGAAAATTCTTTCTCGCCACGTTCGACACGGCGAAGGTGAAGATGCGTTTCAAAATGCCTTTCCAGCTCACCGGAGCTGGTGTAACACTTCTCACACAAGTTGCAATAGTGTGTCTGGTTCGCCACAGCTTCCTCTCTCTGTCCCTTCTTGCTCTTATACCTCCGAGCATTGATCTTAGTTCGTTTGGCAGAAAACTCTGGAGTAGGGTTTGCACGCTGTCGCATGTTGTCGGCCTTGGCCCACTCACGAAGGCGCTCGTTTTTGCGAAGCCGTCTCAGCAATTCCAGCAAGTTCCTCAACAATGTGCTCGATGCCAGGGATAGGCTCTAAGAGACGACTGTAAGAGTACAGCCCAGACCAGGGTAAATCTTCGATGTGCCAGATTGTATTATCGCGAAAAGACTGCATGGTCCAAAAAATGGCGTGGAACGCAGCCTCGAGGGCAAGAAATATCGGACCTTACCTAAATTAATGTAAGATGTTAGAATAAACTTAGCAAAAGGTATCCTGAACTTATGCTAAGTTACCTAAGTCTTTTTAACATTTAGGATCGAGGTCCTGAGTTTTCTTTCCTCCCCTTGACGTGTACTCCTCAAAGTAACCATTGCTTCATATCTATTTGCTAGTCCAAGACTTAACCAAAGACAATGCCTAACTAGGACAGCTTTGACGGTAATCCAACGTTACAAGAATGGCTCATGAGTTGTCTCAAGGCCACAAAGAGTCGTCATTCGTCAGATAGCGAGTCAGAGAGATACTACGATAGAACTGGTGGTTGCAAGCGAGTAAGTTGATAATCCGCAGACGCCGCAGCTCCGAAAGCGGCAAAAATAGTAAAGTCGGCATTGCCGTCAAGCTTTGGGTACACAAGCTTGAGGAACAGCTACTAGTTGGGCTGCAGTGGTAACTAACTACGACTACCTGGTTCCTCCTCAGGCAACCGAGGATCAGGAACTCGGAGAAGAAAATTTGATCTAGGTAGAGGCGGCTAAATCCTTGCCACTGGCCATAAGCTGAGTGATGATTTGTCGAGGTAGTGGTAAATCTCTTTCGAGGTTCAAGGTTCACAATACAGTGTTATGTTTCAAAAGATCGCTCTCGCACTTTAGCCACACAAGCACAGCATGCATGCGGGTTGACTGACTGCCAATATATGTGTAGAAAATATGGAACATGAGATAATAATGCCAAACTATTGGCGACGGATAGTCTATACCAGAATCATCAAAATCCCCGGCTTAGAATCACCTCGTTCCCGATTTCTCGCGCTCTCAAAAGTGCGTTTGGTTGCTCAGCAGAATCGAAAGAAAAAAAAAAGAATGGAGCCTTGAAAAAAACTCAGGCGAGGGACTTTACCGCGATAGGTCTAGCGGAGGGGATTCCCTACCCCGCCCCGCAGAAAAAGTTCACAGGTCCCTCCAAAATTTATTATTCTTTTAACGCAGCGCCGCTCTCAAAATCAGAGTGGGAGAATTTCCTTTCTTGAAACCCCACGTTCTTCTTCTTCTCCTCTACATCCTTCTTCCCTTTCCACCACAAACCTTTCAGACAAGACAAAATGGCGGACGAAGTGTATGACGGTGCCATTGGCATTGATCTGGGTATGTCTATTGACTTCTCTTCCGATGCAGCTGGTGTTGTTGTCGACTTGTTTTATTCTTGTGCGCCGCCATCGGGGCGACTCGCTTCATGATGCCCTCACCAGAGGACACTCAAGAACAGAACGACCAACTCCAAAGACAACAAACACACCCAATGCATCGAACAACTCATCAAAAATAATGACTAACACCGTCCTCCCACAGGTACTACCTACTCCTGTGTTGCTACCTACGAGGGTACCAATGTCGAGATCATCGCCAACGAGCAGGGTTCTTTCACCACCCCTTCTTTCGTTTCCTTCACTGATAAGGAGCGTCTGATCGGTGAGGCCGCCAAGAACAACGCTGCCATGAACCCCCGCAACACTGTCTTCGATGCCAAGTGAGTTTTGTTCTCACCTCTCCACGCACAAAATCGCAGTTTCTGACTGATATTCTCAGGCGTCTGATTGGTCGTCGTTTCGATGACCCTACCGTCAAGAAGGACATCGAGTCTTGGCCCTTCAAGATTGTCGATGACAACGGCAGCCCCAAGATCGAGGTCGAGTACCTTGGCGAGAACAAGCAGTTCTCTGCCCAGGAGATCTCCTCCATGGTCCTCACCAAGGTACGCACAATTTTCCCCGCCCCCGCACTAGTGCAATTTTTCCTGACCCCTCCAAATAGATGAAGGAGATTGCCGAGACCAAGCTCGGCAAGAAGGTCGAGAAGGCCGTCATCACTGTCCCTGCCTACTTCAACGACAACCAGCGACAGGCCACCAAGGACGCCGGTTCCATTGCCGGTCTCAACGTCCTCCGTATCATCAACGAGCCCACTGCCGCCGCCATTGCCTACGGTCTTGGTGCCGGTAAGTCTGAGAAGGAGCGCAACGTTCTCATCTACGATCTCGGTGGTGGTACTTTCGATGTTTCCCTCCTCAACATCCAGGGAGGTGTCTTTACTGTCAAGGCTACCGCTGGCGAGTAAGTAAACATGCATCCGGACTTGTATCACGAGATACTGACACACTTCAGTACCCACTTGGGCGGACAGGACTTCGATACTAACCTCCTCGACCACTGCAAGAAGGAGTTCGGCCGAAAGACCAAGAAGGACCTCTCCGGCGATGCTCGTGCCCTCCGACGTCTCCGAACTGCTTGTGAGCGTGCCAAGCGTACTCTCTCCAGCGGTGCCCAGGCCACCATTGAGATCGACTCTCTCTTCGACGGTGAGGACTTCACCATGTCCATCACCCGTGCCCGTTTCGAGGACCTTAACGCCAAGGCTTTCTCTGGTACCATTGAGCCCGTTGCCCAGGTTCTCAAGGACGCCCAGATTGAGAAGAAGGCCGTTGACGAGATTGTCCTCGTCGGTGGTTCCACCCGTATCCCCAAGATCCAGAAGCTTCTGTCCGAGTTCTTTGACGGCAAGAAGCTCGAGAAGAGCATCAACCCCGATGAGGCCGTTGCCTATGGAGCTGCTGTTCAAGCCGGAATCTTGTCCGGAAAGGCTACCTCTGCTGAGACCTCTGACCTCCTTCTCCTGGATGTCGTTCCCCTGTCCCTGGGTGTTGCCATGGAGGGTAACATCTTCGCCCCCGTTGTTCCCCGTGGTACTACTTGCCCTACCCTGAAGAAGCGGTATGTTTCATTTCCTAGTTCTCAAGTTTTATATTCATTTCTCGTGATGTTCCTGTGGTGTTTCCGTGGTGTTTGGGAATTTTGGTCAAATCTCAGCCTCGTGCGAAGTGACCCACATTCCACATGCTCTCCACATGGTGCCCCATATCTCTCAGCCTTATCCTAACCTTAGCCCTAAAGCTCTTCAGTATTCAGAATAACCTCATCCAACATTCATCAAATTTTATGAACTTTAGATGACTTATGAACATAAACTAACAATGAATTTATTAGAACATTCACCACAGTTGCCGATAACCAGCAGGTAATTTTGCCCTTTGCAATGGTTCAAGAATGTTTCACTAACTCGTAGCAGACTGTCCAGTTCCCCGTCTTCCAAGGAGAGCGCGTAAACTGCGAGGACAATACTTCTCTCGGAGAGTTCACTCTCGCCCCTATTCCTCCCATGCGTGCCGGTGAGGCCGTCCTCGAGTGTGTCTTCGAGGTCGACGTCAACGGTATCCTCAAGGTCACTGCTACCGAGAAGACCTCCGGCCGCAGCGCTAACATCACTATCTCCAACTCTGTCGGCAAGCTCACCACCGATGAGATCGAGAAGATGGTCAACGATGCTGAGCAGTTCAAGAGCAACGACGACGCTTTCCAGAAGAAGTTCGAGGCCAAGCAGCAACTCGAGTCCTACATCGGCCGTGTTGAGGAGATCGTCTCTGACCCCACTCTGTCCCTTAAGCTTAAGCGTGGCCAGAAGGAGAAGATCGAGAGCACTATCAGCGACGCCATGGCTGCTCTTGAGCTCAACGAGTCTTCCGCTGAGGACCTCAAGAAGCAGGAGCTTGCTCTCAAGCGCCTTGTCACCAAGGCTATGTCTTCCCGATAAATGCATAATGCTGTTAGGAATTGCAGCAGTGTAGATATTTCGGAGTACTGATGCTGGAGCAAAGAACTGAGCACCCTCGACGCCTCGCGAGGGGCGATTGGAATTACGACTGGCCACGGTGGATTTTCCTTTGTCGTTTACGGTAATTGGACGAGGAGAAGCCAAGGCATATGAAAAGTTCTGCATGTTTCATGGGTATGCCGCGCTAGGACATGGGCGGCTATGACTACTAAAATGAGAGCTGATGGGAAAATGGTCCAAGGATGGTTGTGGGCTTGTTGGGCCAGAGCCTGCAAGAGCGGTTGATGGCCTGTGAATTTAAGCATAGACAGGGTAGAATGCAGATACGGAATGATGCCTTTTTACCTACTTAATGATTTGTTCTCAAGTTGCTTTGTGATGTTCTGTGAGGATGACTTGAGTGCTCATGATGAGTTGTGGTGGTATTTGCTAAGCTTATGTTGAGACATTGCATCTACGTTATTCTACTATTCCCCTTGGGTATTATGCAAGCAGTAGGCAGCTGAATCTGATATTATGGAAGTAATAAGCTCAAAATTAACCCGCGGTGAGTAAAGACTATTAAGGCGTAGGTATAGTCTCCTAATATGAGGAGTTGGTAGTTATTTGTCATTGAACTGAAGGTAATATGCATAGTACGATTCGATGAATTTGCAGGTTACTCGCCTTTTTCTTCTTTCAACTATAATGGACAGGTTTAGGGATCGATTGGGCCACTCTCATATGTGGTTAATCAAAATGATTTATCAGCTCCCCCTTGATGAGTCTAGCCAGTCTACTCAAGATACTGCAATGTTCATAAGCATATTATAAATTTTGACCATAAGCCACTCATTTTGTAATACCTAAAGATAATCTTGATGGCATTGAGATATATCATGATATACTTGTCATTCTTCACTTTTACTGTGTTTATTATTTGCATCGGTAGATGCCTGACTTACACCAACGTATCACAGCAGCTAAAGATCAATCCTGATGATATTGAACACTCGAAGACCTGTACGAACCAGGTAAGCCAGCCTATTAAATTCAATATTATCTTATTCAAGAATACTTTGACGCCTTTGTTGTCCAATGAAGTGGAAACACATTCACGTGCTGGGTTTGGGACTTAGATGAATTCTGCCTTCTTTTCGATACTTGAGAACTTCCACATGACAATAGCCGCCCAAGAATTGCACAGAACTCTGTATACCACAGCCTTATTTGACCATGGCATTCAATGCCAACGAAGTATGACCTGTTGCTCACTAGGACTCATAGACAATGACCGTATATCCCCCAGCGAGGTCCAGTCCTAAGCAGCCAGAGGTAGTACCCAGCAGCGGTAGAATCAGACCACTGTCAATGCTGTTTCACTGCCTATTTGGGCTGAGCCACAGTCAAGTCCTGCTAGAGACGAGTGAATAGTTGAGACGGACCCGATGAATTCACCGGTGGCAAAGCTGTTGAAGACAAGGCCTATGAGAAATGAGTTCATAGGTAGTCAGGTAGCCTCAGTGAGCCAGATGACTCTCTGACCATAGGACCAGATGCCCAGCATAACCAGTCAAGAGTCTACTAATCTACATTGAAACTATGATAATTTGACTCGATCGTTTGATTAAGGTGTTCAGGGTAGTCATCCTAAGTCTTCTTGCCTTGGCTGTTAATCAATTCTTAGGCGCGATCTTCTTTTCAAAAATACAGTCATGTCCAATCTCATAATCACAGTGGCACCCATCTCAAGGTTTCTAAACGGACTCTTTTATTCGATGAATCACTGTGATTTCTTTTCCCTCAGGGTATTAGGCAACAATTAAGGCGAGTGACCTGATTCACCGTCTCCCAGGGCAGCAGCGGCCTTTGCTCTGGGTACCTATATAAAGCCCCTCCTCCTCCATCTTCACACACTCTCACTTCTCGTCTTTGCCTACAACAAGGGCCAACATGGCCTACAACAATACATCTCATGGCAGTTTGCATGCCCTATTTGAAGCCTCTTTTCAGAAACTCAACGATGCTGTGACAAGCGACACCTCCACTGTATCGCACAAGGCCCACTGCGACCGTGTTGAGAAACACCTACTCAGTGGATTATCCATCATCGGCGCGGGAGACAAACCCGCTGACGCTGAATTCATACAACATAACCGTCCTCCTGTACAGGCACCCAGTGACGAGTTGACCCAGCGTCATATCTTGGTCGGAGGCCGGCACGAAGACCTCTACCATTTCTTGTCTATCCCGCAATACGAGGAACACTTGGTAAGCTTGTGGTCCGATCCGCTCCTGAATATTACCCGCGACTGACACTAGTTGTAATAGAAGTATCTCGGCAACACCGACTTCCACTCATATCTCGACATTTTCGATGAGCTCAACACAGAGCAAAAACATTTGGCAGACGGCGGGAGTCGGCAAATTGGTATGGCTAGCGAAGTCGCCATTCCAGGGAGGTTTTCTTGCCGATGCCATGGGATTCGGCAAAAGTCTCCAAGCATTGCTCGCCGCGCTTGAGGTGAAGCGGACCATGCAGACAAGGTCTGACTTTATTGCAGTCGTTACCCGGGCTGGCTGCGTTCTCCAATGGGTAGACGAAATACAGTGACACTTCAAACCAGTAAGCAAATATCTCTGTCTCGGTCACCTAATTACTCATTTTATCAAAGGAGCACTGCCCCTCGTGGATCATCATCGATGATCCCAAGATCGATACAACTCGTCTCTTGGACTACGGCATCGTCATCTTCTCGTGCAACTTCCTCAAGCGCCGATACCAAGAAAGCCTCGCCTTCGAGTATTTCTGTCACACGAGAGTGGCGTTGGGGGACTCTGCAGCTAAAATGATCCGCAGAGGAAATGTAGAGCGCCCGAATGCCGTTCTACATTCCAACTACCGCAGCCAGGTCAATCAAAACATCGCCGTCGTCATCCTGGACGAGTCCCACTATTGTCGCAACGACCAGTCGTTATATTTCGACGCCGTTAAGTCGTTGAAGTACCACCATCTCTTCATGCTTAGTGGTACACCAATGTTCAACTGTTCCGAAGACATCATGCGCCAGTCACGACTCATGCCAGGTGGCGGCCTGTTCACTAGCAAGGAGCACTACAAGGCACTGTTCTATTCGGATGAACAGCAGCAGCATCCCACGGGGCCTCCGTTGCAATTATTTAACCGATTATATCAGGGCCTGATGGTGGCTTGACCCAATACCGTGGTGAAACTGAAACCGATGAGAGTATTCGAGGACACATTCGAGTTCGGCTGTCTTGGTCATGGATCTGATGGACACTGAGGGGATGCGAAAAAAACTTAGGGCCTCAATCTTAAATGATAAATATTTAGGTAACCCTGGCCTAAACTTAGGACCTGTATGCTAAATACTTTTCTTATTTAGAAAACTCTACCCTAAACTTAGGGCACTCTTTACTAAATTTGTTACAATGTCCTCCTCTGATGCCAAGTTTTCTGGCTTGAGTTCCCTCATGACCTTCCATGCCACTTCTCTTTCTACAACTGTTGCGAGGTGATAGACCTAAGCAATGAAGTCAACGATCAAAGAAAGTGTTACCCAGTGTCAGATCATATCTTCTTTCACACCGACCACAGTACCCTGTTTGATGCCCGGAGACCTTTAAGCTGACCATCATTATAGCCTCATTTGGCACATAGAAAAGGTGTTGGTGGTCTCAACAATGCCCTAGCGAGGGCGGGTTCAGAAGTGAGGTTAATCGAGTGAGAAATAAATGCCGCGGGGTCTACCGAGAACGGAGTCTTGATGATCATCTTCCATACTTCTGCCACTTTCTTTCTCTTTTCATCATGTCCCACTCCACTCCATACACAACCAACAACACAAACCATTGCATAGCCAATGAACCAGACCCCATCTGCCCGGGACGGATAAATAAGATCACGCAACGCACTCTATTGGCCAGTTGGTTAGGTATTAGATGTAAAGAAACATGCCGAGCTTTATATCATGCCTGATTAGGTTTCGCCCACATCCCGCTTACAAGTAACTCGTTTAAGGAGTCATGACAAGAGGAGAAGCCCTCAGCTAGATGGTCAATACCCATTCGTAAAAAGTACATTATCCAATCACCACGCAGTTCTCTCTTGCCTATGAAAGAAGAAACTTCCGGTCAAGGATGTGTTGGCTCTGTGCTTGGTCTGTTTCTTGTTGATCGTTGCCTCATATGATGAGGCTCGAGAGAACCGCTTGTAGATGGAAAGCAGCGGATTTCAGTGATCGCTGTAGTACCAAGTCGGAAGGTAATACTAAATAAAGTAAACATGATCCTGTGATATTGTAGTGGAATGAGAGATTCTACCTAACCCTCAGCCTTTACAACTGAGGTCCATCACAAAGTCTAAATGCTCATGATAATGCTACAAATTATCACTGATGAACCGCATTTATACTCTGCAGGGTCAGTATCTAATGCTCAGCTCTAGCTCTTCTCGAAATCATCTGCCTCGCTCTCTTTTTGTAACTCAATTTGCACAGAGCGTGAAGTCTTTGGGGTTGTGACCAGGGCTGAAGCATGAGTGTTGGTTGACCAATGAGGACAACTCCTAAGCGCCGCCGTTGCAGCCTGTCGCTAAACCCTACCACCCCTGAAGAACCAGGAACTTGGTATGGATTTAGACTCGCTTTGTCATTGCCTAATCAACGTCACTTGCTAGGCGCAGACGCGCTCTTGCGCGCTCTTGACCATATCTCTTTATTTGAACCGCAGTCAGTCAGCCCAGAGCCCATTAGCCGGTGTCACCACGGCCACAGCATGCAGGGAACTTATAATTGCTCGGAAGCACTTCGCGTGACCCGAACTAGTTTTGACGCAAACCGAAGCTCTTGTTGGTGACTAGACTAGTTGCGATGCAGCAACTCTGGCTCACTAACACCCACACCGTCACTTTCGGAAGACGGACAGCTTCTTGACGGCTTGGGTCATCCGTACTCACGGCACGGTCCACTAGAATATGCAACTCGTATCTAGTTACTTCGGAGTTCTCCTGACTTGATATGGTGACCTAGTGCTACTCTTGGGAAGGTGGGTGCTGCCCCTGCTAGGCAGTTATCGCAAGAAGTGATTAGCAATACATGCATGACGATAATTTCTTTGTACCAAGAAGCGTGCGAGACCAACACTTCAAACAAGGGTAATGTGTGATGAGCTTTTGTGAACGAGGACAGCTAGAGCTAGTCTTATCCGTGCCGTCCCGTGCCCCATGCCCCATGCCTTGAAGTAAGTCGAGACGTGAGAGAATTAGGGATGTTGGAGCTAGAGTACTTACTTCTGCATCGGCTACATCTCGATTGAGGGTGTTTTAGTGAACTGGACCAGTCACGGAGCCACTTTGCATGTAACTTGTTGGGTATGTATCGTGAGACGATGAGGTTGTTGTTGGCCGATCGTAATCAAGGCTGCAGCTCGACTACACTCGTCTGGGAGACGTCAAGCTTGGAAGGTGCAATGCAGGTAGAATGCAGTATCAATCACTTGACTCATACGCCATGTGCCAGGGTGCTTTTACGGGGTCTCAAAGGAGCAGATATAGATGCATGATAGTGGTTGCGTGTCGTCACCTCAAGTCGGACCGTGGCCGACCGAAACTAAGCAAATAGTTTGTACAAATCTGCCTTTCGAAGTTTCTCAAGCTCTACAAGCCTTGGGGGCCGTCGAAGGAATCAGGCCGCATCAGAGGTCGCCCACGGGAAGATCCTAGGGCCGCAGATGATACCAGACACACCAACACCCTCGGCTCTTCGGGGTTCAAGGGTCTGACGACACCAAGATGTAAGCGGTCAGAGTGCGAAGAGCGTGACAGTATTGCTCCTAGGAAAAGATCGGAGGAACTCATGCCAAGGGCCGTAGAGAGTGTGACGATGAGACTCTGTTGCATGCTGATCTAGTGTGTTGCCTGCTGCCCACTTGCTTCTGAGCTCCGGGAGGTCATCCGGAATGAAAAGTACCAAGAAGAGACGCAAGGTTCGTGAAATATCATGCGCAAAACGACCCGAACCAACACAACTTCGGCCTTTGAAGACAGCATCGGCAAGGGGGTTGCAGGTGTAGACGCAGGCGCAGACGCAGACGCAGACGCAGATGCAGGCGCAAGAGGTGGTAGTAGGCGCAGCCGCAGCGGAGTTTGTCTCGTACAGAGTGGGCCAGCCGAGGGTGAAGTTGTCGATTTACCAACAACCGCGCCAGAAAGACGCCGCTCGAGTCAAATTATCGACTCATCGGCTCGAGGTTTGCTGTGATGGGTTGAGGCGCTTTGAGTTGATGTGAAGACAAGCTAAGGTACAGCCGCGCGCCATCACACCCAACCTAAGCTGCAGGAAGGCGCAGGGGTTTATCGGCCCCCACCTGGAGAACAGACAGGGGGGATGTGCGGCCGCCTACGTGCACTGTACTTGTAGCGTATACAATGGCTGCGCTTACAGTGTCAATTCCATCTAAGATTCCTGTCGAAGCAACAACTCCAAGCGCCCCATGACAGGGGTAATCACTTCCCTGATCAAGCTCAGTCCAATCAGAGTCCAGCAATACTTTGTAGTAGGAAAGAGTTCTTCTAGTTGAAGCCATCGGACCTGCTTTAGTATGTACAGAAGGATGCCAGACGTGGTAGGTCAGCACTGTAAGGAAGGAGTTCAGATACTGCAAGGTACACGAATTGTACTTCAGATCATCATTCAGCCTACAACGGCAGTTGTATTTCCACTTCACCAACAGACAGCATCCAAATCAAATAAAGTCTCCCTTGACTTCCATGTCGATATTGGCCCGCTTCGGCATCATCACTCGACGTATAGTTTCACACCCACACAACTTTTCTGATGAAGATCCCAAGACCCGGAGTGGACAAACCGGCATATATTAACTTGAATATGGCATGATATGGCACGGCACAACATGGGGCACTTTGGGATAGTGGAACGCACAAACTACAGCTTTGTCACACTTCTCATCATCGAGAAGGGAATGGTCAAGCACAACCATGTGTGACAAACCTCTCCCTTCGTGCATCGAGTCATGCAGCAGCGCGGAATTGTGTGAAGCTATCCCAGACTCCATGTCGTTCGTTTCCGTATGCACGACCTGATAGTCGAGAACGGGGCGCAGATAATACCATTTGTGGAGTATAGAACAAAGAGACATGACGCACAATCAGGAATCATCCCCGTCTTTACGAGATGTGGATACACGGTTGGCTACATTCTTCATACTTTCCTCGGTGATCGCTGGATATACTTCCAGTATCAGGAACAGCCGACGTTTGCTGCCCTTGGCATCTACATGTGTTGTTGGCTTGTCGCGGGTATTCTCATGGTGTGCCTTCGGCGGCCCGCGCGCATGATTTGGCCCGCATATCCACCTGGACATCACTCCGAACAGGTCACCTTGACGAGGTGAATTGCTCAAAGCAACAACGTTACTTCCATCCGCCGCGTCAAACTCGGCAACCAGAGTTTGACCCGTTGATACAAGCGCGATATGTATAATCCCACTCACATAGGCCGCTATCATGTACTATATGCATCTCCCTAATGGTGTTGATACGTACAAACCTTAGTGGCTGACAGGGTTCTGCAGTCTTTCTTTGTTCGCTCTCAAACACAGCTAGTACCTGACCCTTTGACCTTTGACAACCCCAGAACGACCCTACATCCCGTCGTCTACCTAATCTACATAGGGATTAATGGTCTCTTCGCGGATCATGTGCAACATCCGCTAGCTCCACAAGGCGTCTAACGCCTCTCACGTCTTAGCTTAGCCAAGGGACAAGGAACAATAGCAGAACCCGGACCAACAGACACACGAAGGAAGAAATTTTCCTCAAGATGTGCCGAAGAACAAGTTGGTAGGTCACTTGGGAGATCGAAAGAACGTCCAGGGGCCCGCATTCATGGAAAATACCAATTTCTGTGGCGTCATGACACAAGCCGGTATCTGTTGGTCGCAATTTAAGTCGACAGCGGGAGAGGCAATAATAGGAGGGTGGCAGGTACAGAGCTGTCACGTCCATGTGGTAGCTGCAAAAAACGGCGACTTCGGCAAAGCCGTCTTACTTGTTTGCTGAAACAAACCAATTGCCAGCGTCATACTCTCTGGCCAGGTTCAGCTTCAGTGTTCTGAAGGGTTTCGAGTAATGGATGGTAGCATGGGTACAGGCTGTCATCTGAACGTCAGGCCTGCAGCTTTACTAGTGGGAACTCGGGACGAGCTTTCCCGCTCATTGAGCAAGCCATCAGCTTGCAAGGGAGCTTAGATCTTTGACGCATGCCTTCGATGACGGATGCAGGAAACGTTCAACATCAGTTTTTGCAGCATTTAAAGAAATTGGACCACGAGACAGTAGCTCATCATGCTGTCCGACCTGTACTGCTCCTCGATGAAAGTTTGTACGATGCCATTACCAAACTAAACTAGTGAGAGTTCACAGGCTGCAACGTGTGGCAACCGGCCACCGCTCACGGCAGGCAATCGAGCATCAAGCAAACCGTATCCAACTACATAAAGAAATCGCAACTGCTGGCCCCTCTGACTGCGACCATGGTGTTGACGACGGATTTGAGATGCATGATGGTGGTTCCCCTCAATGCAGAAGAACATGTCCGCAGAGTGTGGATGCACGATGACCCATTCTACAAAGGGCCCCATTGAAGCCAACATGCTCGCACAATCTTCTTCACAGTCACACCGCGTGGAATTCTATGAGGGCTCTCAGACCTGTATCGGAGTCTAATGCTGTTGGTCTGCCAAAAACTCCCTTGTGGACTGATGTGCCTTGACGTAAGTCAACCCTTGGACCAGCCTGCCAACAGAGCGTGGTGTTGCGGCACACAAGCGACCTGATTTGGGGCTCGGAGGTTATATCTCAGTTTACAAGCTGATTGTCTCCTTTCCCAGAATTCCCCTCGCCTCTTTTCTGTGGTGTTTGCGGGGACAGAGGGCCGAGAAGAAAGAGGAGTGCCTGGCAGTACATTTTGCGCACCAACACACACCCCCTCCAAGCCTCACCCCCTGGCCGGCCCAGAGCCAACTGACTAGGTAGCTAACCAACCATCCTATCTAAGCAACCTAGCTCCTGGTCTTTCAACACCTGGGAAGTGCAAACAGGACCAACAATCCGTCTTCCTTGCTCTCGTTTTGAGGGTTATTTCGACTTTCACATTGTGGAATCTCCAAGACACCTGTACACATAGTGTCATGGACAGTAAACTGCCTCGCTCAGTCATAATCGTTTCCAAACCCTCGGGACCGTGTCACCAGCTATATAAGGGCCAAGGACATCTGCCTCAATCGAAACTTCACAGCTCAGACTCAGCAGCACTTCAAACCACTGTTCTACACTCAATATCCCATATCATCACTCTGAAGATCTCTTCCTTTCGGAGTCTCGTTGTCCTTCAAGCTTAAACCCCAATTCTCAGCCATATTTTGGTGCCAATCCTCCATAGTCTACCACGGCAGCAAGCCTCTTTCCGTCAGATACACAAAGCCACACCCGTCGGGACAAGTGTGACCAAATACTCACACAAACTTCTCGGATCGCGGCTGTGAACTGCCTGTCATCTGTTGAGTCAACTAGCTCCGGCTGTCAAACAAACCAATCCTCGCACAACGCCAGTTTGCTGCTATATATTGAAGCACCAAGACATCGTCTTTGGCTTCAACAACAGACAAAAGCTCTCTTGCATACTCTTCAAGGTTCCAACTTAAAAACCACCAGCAATCATGTGCTACTGGAGAACTACCCAGCACTGGACTCAGTGTGGCTGCACTGTTTCTAACCTTGATCCTCAGCCCGGCACCTCCTGCCGCTGCACGAGCAACGTCACCGATCAGGGCTCGACGACGTGGGAGGGCTACTGTGGACGTCCTCAGTGCCCCAACCCTCCTCGGGCGACCTAGTAGGTTGGTATCTGAGTTTCCCTTTGAAAGCGAGCCTCTACGCTGCAGTGCAGCTAACGAGTGTCACGTATAGCGATCCTCGATACCCTCGAAGAAAGGGAGAAAAGCTATGAACAGATTCTTAGATCTGTAAAAGCTAGCTTTGACTGCCCCGCGCAAGGTGGAAACGCATGGCGATCATGGAGGGGATTTCTTATACCTTTTTTGGATTTGTTTCTGAATCCATAGATGGACCGTGGTATCCCTGGAGTTGTTTGGCAACAAACTCGGACTCCCAGAACAGCACAGATGAGGGGGTGATACAGTCATTTCCGGATTTCAGAAGGCATCATTGTGGTTATTTTGGTCCTACTCTTGTTCTTATTCTTATTCTTCTACTTCTACACTTACCTATCTACTTTCCTTGATAGTTTGAATTGCATCTTTACTTTATCTCACAAACCGTTTTGACATGCATGGGTTAGATGCCCCTTGCTTGATTGAGTTGGAAAGGAGTGTGATTGGGGGCGTGCGAATAGAGAAATGACCAGGATCTCATGTCTCCGCTGCCCTTAGGCGAGATTTCGAAGAACTGGGGTATCCTCGCTAATAGCCTTAACTTTTGCTTCTACTTGGTGGACAAATGCTGACCTGTCTTGTTCTCGATCTCATTTCTCGCATGATATTATACATTTTTATTCCTCCATGTTCCAATGGAAGTCGGGGTTGAAGTCGTCGGTTTAAGTTTGCCCCCACCAAACAGTCACACTGATCCTCTGGCCCAATCTGCGACCCCCTACGCCACGCTACGCCACGGCCATAACAACGGCCCTAGAGAAAGCCACAACCAACCCATCAATGATGCAACAAAGGAATATGTTTCGAATATATTTTGTTCTACAGCCTCATTGTGGGTTCTGGAGAGATGAAAACGCCTCGTGGGCGTCTATCAGGACTGTGCACGAGGTTTGATGTCACCGCCTCTCGAGGTCTAAGCTATGGGTCTATACAGAAAGGAATGCCCGTGTAAGTCAGCCTCTTGTATAGATGCTACCAACGGCATCGTGAGCCGTGCATTGGGGACCTAGTCCAATTAGGTGTGCTCCTTCTGTTCCTTCTAGTAGCAATCAGGGCAAGGCAGAGTTCGGGGGCATCTCTCACTGGGAGAATCTGTCACCACGTAGACATTTTAAGCGCCCAATATCTATCTGCATGTACCAGACTAAGGTAGGTAGTCTCAGCCCTCTCCCTGGCCTAGTAGACTAGTGCAAAGCTGAGTCCGATTCATGTAGATTTTAGTTGGTTCCCTAGTTGGTGTATTCAGTCGGTGAGCAGGAAACTATTCCTTTCTGTGTCTTTCTCGGTTGATTTATCAGTGTAGAGATGGCGTCTTCTCTTTTTCTTCCACTTCCGGTCGACCAAGCTTTAGTACCTGGGCACTTCGATCAGTTATTAAACACCCCTGGCCCTGCCCTGTTGGCGTTGGGTTGGGTGGAGTTGAGACGAGCAGCTGTGCGTGCAGACGTCACTGATCATGTGACTTGGTTTCATCGTCTCTCACTGCTGGGGTGAGCGAGTCTTTGAGTAAAACCAACTCATGAACACACAGCACTCATATCAATTGTCCCAAAGAATAATATCTCGATAATTGAAATCTCTCATGAGATTGTCTGTCAGTTCTCTTTCTGTATATTTGATGACACAAGGGCTAAATGCAGCTCGTGATACCTGCAGTGTTTTACCCTCCTAGCGAAGGAACTCATCCTTGTCAATTGCAACAGGTCGTATTTACTACCCTTCAAACTCTAGCAATCAGCAACTGAGACCTTTATCATCTTTGCTTTTCTATTATTGGTAGTCGTACAGTATCAGTACAACTGCCAAAAACTCCGTGCATCCCGAAAATCGTCACACAGCAACACCCGCCTGACTCAAAAGAATAAAAAACTCTCCGGTCCGTATGGTACAAACAGTCAATATCTTCAGGAGATGTAACCTCCATATCTCGCCTGCAGTAAATGCCGTTGTCCTCCCGTTCCCCTCTTCGCGATGCGCATTATACGGGACGTGACGTGCCGGCCCACGACATGACCACCTCCATCTGTAACTATCCCCGTTCTCATCACATTGGCTTATGCGGCCTGTTGGTGAGAACTCCTAAAGAGAGTTCACCTGAGCTGAAACTCTACTGCAGTCTAACGATGCTGGCGAGCTTCTTTCGCACATGGGCTCGATGAGTCTTGCTCTGCTTCAGTTGAAGACTGGGGCTACTCTCTCTCTCTCTTTTGTCGGGCCATGATTCACTGACCGTCCGAACACTCGTACTGAAGCTGGACTGGCACGTGTGCTTTCAAATCTGGTTTTAGCAACTCTGGTTAGGAATGAGAGATGTATGTGATTTGTCTCTCAACTTGATAAGTTGATAGAGAATCGGTAGTTCCTGGAGAAATGGATAATTTGTGAAGCAAACGCCACATAATCACAGTGGCAAGACTACCCTACTACCTTAGATCCAAGTTCATATCAGAGAGTGATTTACTCTCTCCCCTTCTTGTTACCATCAAACACTGCTCAAATCTGTTTATCACACCTCCGCTCATAGCGCTAACAGCAGAGCCAGAATCCGGTATGTGCTGTCTATCTTCTCTTTCTTTTCAGGCTTTTGGCAATCCTCTCAAAGGATCCAGTCCAAAATGCACTGTCATGTTCCTCTTGCATACCTTGTCTCTTACTCTTCCCTTGTGTTTAGAAATAATTTGCCCTTCCTTCTATATACTGACAATCGAATAGCATTCATCAAGATGGCTAACACCAAGAGAGGTCAGTTTGACCTCGACCCCTACTTTCCAAGTATGGGAGAGTTTCGTGACAAGATCAGAGAATGTCAAGACCCGTCAATGGCTCGATCTCGGGTCCAGAGTGTCCTTGACAACTACAGCCAGATGCGACTCGACATGCCCAAGGCGATTCAGCTTAAGGTCACCAGGTTTCTCAGGCATGAGAAATGGGTAGACAGCCCACGCAACCTTAGCAAATCAAGGCTCTATTGTATGCTGTCAGGCCAAGGACGCTCAACATCTCTGAACTTCTCAGCCTGGTTGGTTGTGGCGGCTACTTGGCCATCCCACCTGCTCGTCCTTGGCATCGCAGACGAAATGTCACGGCTTTGGGGGCAAGATTTCCCTGGTACACGACCTTTCTTCCCCAAAAACGTCTCAGAGGAGGAGGCATTCCTCAAATATGATGGAAAGTTTATGCCGGGGGACGATTACCCTCTCTCGGATGCTGGCGATGGAAATCCCAAAGACAACAACAAAGAGGATAACAAGCGCAAGTCTAATTCAGGCGATATTTTCGACAGGGCCACGAAAAAGCACAAGGCTGATCGACCTATCGCTTTGTCCAACAGTGACATCCCAGAGCCTTCCAATGTGCACGAGGGTCCGGAACACGGCAGAGTTTCTTATCTCAAAAGGAAAATCAAGGCACGGGACGAACTTATCAGCGAAAAAGACGAAGTCATCAAACAACAAGACGCGCAAATCAAGAAGCTGGAGCGTCGATGTCATCGGAGGTTCAAAGATGGAGGCAAAGACTTCAGAAGACTCTTCAATCGTGTCGAAGGTCTCAAGACAAGCCTCAAGGATGCGGCCGAAAAGGAGCACGATCTGCAGTCGTATGTTCGGCAACTGGAAGATCAGATCAAGCGTCGAGATGAAGAAATCGAGAAGCTCTCTGACTGCAACAGAAAGCTCGAGGCAAAACACAAGGACGTGGATCACACTTGGGAGACATGTGCTAAGGGGGTGTTTTAACAAGGAGAGATAAGAGGACCAACCATGGTAGACAAATCAATTTCCCTTCGGCGTTAGGTTGTTCTGGAATTCTTCTGGCTCTCTCCTCTGTATATCGAAGCTGCAATATTTCAAGGCGTTTTCATCACTCAGTCTAGGGATGCGATGCGAAAAAGAGGTTGCTTAGTTAGGTACCAATGTAATAGACATGTGCTATACTTGCTTGGACCATAGATTCAATGCTGAATGCAAAGAGGCTTATGGTGAGGAGTTACAGTGGAAGAATGGACTGGAAAAGTGAGAGTGTGCAGGTACTGATGATGTCCAGATAATGAATCTCGAGGCGCATAACGGACCTTCCAAGGTTGCCGCCGACTGAAGTACCTCATACACCAATATAAGATACTGAAATAAACTTGGCAAGGTATTCTAAATTTATCCTAAACTTATCCTAAGCTTAGGCTAAGTTACCTAAGTCTTTTTATCGTTTTGGGTCGAGGTCTTGAGTTTTCTTTCCTCCCCTTGTGTATATGGGTCAACATTTTGTAATAACCGACAACTCTCTTCACATCAACAACTCTATCTCACCAATCTTGTGTCGAAATACCCGCTTCATATCCATCCACGTACATACAGTGGCGATCTTGATCTGAGTGTAGAATCTTATCTTGTTATATTGGACTGCTTCTAGAAGCTCTTGGGAGACCCCACTTATTGGCCGTGGGGATATCATGCTTAGCCGCCACTCGCTGCTCAACCTGAACCTCGCAACATAATCCTATTCAAACGACATGATTCGCAAGAAGGCTACAGCTTCACGGAAACCGGAAATATTGGGCTTTAGGCATCTAGGGTCTGGATAGTAGAATGCCACAGTCACAGGACGAACAAGGGTTATCTCGCTCAGATCAGCGTCCAGAGTCGTCATCATAGGTACCGCCGCCGTCATGACAACCTCAGAGGTCAACAGCCTCAACCTCCTCGACCTCCCCGTGGATATCCTCAGCATTATCCTGAAGCCACTTGTCACATCTGCTACGCCTGTATGTCTCTGCCCGTGCACTAGGTCAACCGTCAACCCGTTGCCCATTCTCCTCTCTCACCCAGCGCTACACACCATCGCCACTCCGCTGCTGTACGCAGGAAACGAGTTCTTACTGGACGCATCAGGACCCCATGCACAACACATCCGTAGGGAATTACAGAGCGCTCCGCGCGGAGCCGACGAAAGGCTTCCCGGCCGAGCTACGCTGCTCACAACACGAGGTGCTCTACGCAGAATAGCAAGACTGGAAGTACGAATTGATCGCTTGAGAGGATGGATAGGGACAGATATTATACCACTACTCACGGAGCTAGCTGTGCAAGGAAGAATGGACTACCTCACAGTCTGGGTGCGCACGCCCATCGAGCCGAGGACTCCGGTCCATTTCCGCCCTGCCAAGCCGGGAACAGACCTGGACATGTTTGCACGACCACCTCTGGAGGGCTTGCTGCGTGTTCTGGCAGATCCATACTTACTGTCAGCGCGGTTGTGGGTAGACGCGCGGCATGCGAAGACGTGGTGCCGGTTCCACGGAGGATGCGGAGCGGAGAGTGGAAACCCGGGACGGGAGCGGGAGAGGGTGGAGATTGATTGGCGGGAGATAATCCGGGTGGTAGATCCGGACAGAAAGGAGATCACGGTCATTGGCACTGAGAAGAAGTGGTGAATTGCACAGGCAAGGCAATTGAATAGCATGAGGATGATCTATTCAGCATCTGACGCTTGTGGCACATGAATGAAAGCTGAGGGTGTGTGTTGTGCTGTACGTGGCGGATCATGGACGGTCAGAGACGGCACAGAAGCCGAGATGTGCAGTGGCTTTGTATGAGATGGAGAAGAGGGTGTACGAGATGGTTAGTCCTAGCAATTGGTCAACATGTGAAGGATTCTCAGATAGATCATCGTGCTGAAGGGTGCATATCTACGAGCGACAAAGGAGTTGACAAGCTAACAATTATCGCCCCATGTTATCTATCCCAAGTAAGTGTCTTATTGAGTGTCAGGGATTCAGAGACTAGAGGTTACGCTTAAATTGAGTAAACTTATAAAGCCGTCACGAGATCTATAGCGTAATATGCTTGGACCTCGGGGCAGGCAGAGTTAAAAGTGATCAGCATGAGCATCTTTGTGTGCCGTCTTGGCGATGCTGCTTAACCTTTCTCCTGGTGTAGCCTCGCTATAAAACGCAATCTTATTCATACCTCAATGTCTCAAATGCGCCTCCGTACACGAGCACGGTACAGTCTCTGAAACAATTCGTTCCTAACCAACCATAGCAACTATAATTGTTGTACACGCCTCGATATCCCCGTCGGAACACCGAGGGATCACCGTCAGCTTCCGATAGCAAAGCAGGTCACGCGCAACGAGCATTAAGATGAGGAATGACGTATTTCCGTGTCTCATGATACTACTACCAATTGACTTTGTGACAGACCAGCCGCTTCCCCCGCAATTGGCCCAAGCGTTGAGGATGAATGAAGTCTAGTTTGGGGGTCCCTTTTTCTATCACCACCCACGCTTCGTGGTGTTTTATGGCATAATAAGCTGACACATTTATGGTTTTCAGACCGGATACTTTTAGAAGGAAACACCCACCTTCGTTTTGCCTATTCTTATCTCTGACGCAAATAATGCTGTGTAGCCGCTTGACTACCTAAACTCAGAATGGCTGGTGATACTCTCCGCCCCCCATGCTGTACACATTTGTAAAACAGTGGGATTTTGACAGCAAATACCGACAAAATAAGCAAACAAGGAAAACAGTAAAAATGTGAAATGTGAAAAATTCAGTGGATGTCATGCAGGTTTCTCGGTCACCTCCCGAAACTGTTACCCCGGGCCCTGAGTCTACCGAGAGCCTGGACAAAAAACCATGAGGATCTGATTGGGTCGTGTATAAACAGATCATGGTTAATATTACATAGTCAATAACAGTCGGATATAGCAAGTCTGCGCGGGCGGCAGGCTCCGGCTATTCATGGCACGTTCTCTTTTTTTCTTTTTTTCTTTTTTTCCTTTTGGGCCGGTTTCTATGGATGTAATGCAATGTAATGCGAGAGGCGGCGCGGTAATGCTACGCTATCTGGACTAACTTAGTAGTTAGGCCATCTTTTCTGTGCGTTTGCACATGATCGGTCTAGAATCAATGAAATGCCGGTATTTTCTGGGAAAGGCTGAGTCTATGGGTGTGCAGGCAGACATTGAATGTGTGTGAATGTGTGTGAATGTGTGTGAATGGATGGATGGATGGGCAGGAAGTGCAAAGACAACTCATTGATTCACGTCAATTGCCCACACTTTGCTATCTATCTATCTAGTCTATGTCAAATAATAAGACCGAAGATCAATGATTGACTGAAAGAGACCCGTGTTGCAACTACGCTAACTGATAGGATAGGACAGGACAGGACAGCCTTACAAACCTGCCTGTCAATCTCACATTGGCTTACTGTATTAGTTATTACCTACCGCCCCTAGTGGAGGAAAGAAAACTCAAGACTTTGATCCTAAATGACAAAAAGGCTTAGGTAACTTTACATAAACTTAGAATATCTACACTAAGTTTAGGATATCTTTTACTGGGTTTATTTTGGCACCCCATATGAAGGTCCTGTGTTTTCTTGCTCCCCGAGGCGCCCATACCGCACCGCACCGCAAAGGCACCGCATTTCTATCCCATGGCACACGGTCTCAATGCCGAAATGCCCATGGGCCTATCGCTCGCTCGCTCGCTATCTGTATGATCATCGTCACCCAGGGACCCTTCTGGTTGCAGATTCGACACTCTTTGCTCCATCCGGAAAGGACTGGAATCATGATTTGCCGCTATCAATAGTGCTACTGCTACTGTAGGCCAAGATCCCAGGGAATAGTGACAGTGAAGTCCTCCCCCCCGTTCAATTCCATTCTTTTTTTCCCCTTCCTTTTCTCGACATATAATGAGAGAGAGAAGATAATAGATAATAATAATAATAAGGAAATGCAAAACAGCATAACCCTCGCTTCAATTTTCTTTTTCAGCCTTTCAAGACTCTTGCTTTCACAGGATCCAGACCAAAGCCGCCCACCTCAATCCTAATCCCGTATGATTTGATTTGATTTGATTCCATTCTCTTGTTCCATTCAACCGAAGCTGAAGGAAGATGCCCACCCCCGTCGTTGTCCACAGTTGGGGGGACCTTTTTTGTGTTTCTTTTTTAGCCTTGTTTTTTTTTATTTCTTTGATCCAAAATTGTCAAATCAAAGTGGTATCCCGTAAGTTTTGTTTGGTTGTGTCATATCCATAGAAATTTGAAATGAATAGAGAAAAATCATCATCGCTTGCGCTGTCATAATTTCACACCTTTCTCACAAAAAGCACGCCATTCACACAAAGGTCACCGTGACTCTCTTTTAGTGAAGGATAACATCATGAAAGTCGGTCTTGTGCTCATCGGCATGCTCGCCGTAGTGAACAGGTCCAAGCTTGAGGATGCGGTAGCTGTTGTTGGAGCTGGAGCTGGAGCTGGCCGACGACTCAGTCGAGGCTCGTCGAGGAGGAGAGGGACGAGTGTGAGAGCGGACAGCGGGCTTCTGAGGGTATGAGGGAGAAGTGGCCGGGGCGAGAGAGAGGAAAGAAGACTTGGGAGCCGGGGTGAGAGGGAGGAACTTTTGAGGAGGAAGAGCAGCCATTGTGAAGTTTGTAGAGAGTTGTGCTGTTGCTGTTGCTGTTGCTGTTGCTGTTGTTGATAGTAGAGATATAGTTGTTGTAGCTGAGGTGGGCGAGACAGCTGCTGGATCGAAAGGAACAAGAAGATAGAAGCGAGGCTTTTGTTGTTTTGGTTAGAGAACAGAAAGGAAATTCATTCTCATTTCGAGCGAGGGAGCCCTCCTCTTTATGCTTTCACGATCCCATGGAAACTCGCGGCCTTGATCTGCCGTCTCATCTCAAATGATGTGCTACTCCTAGTGTTGATACATAAACTACATACCA